CTATCAACTCAAAACTGACAGGCATGTCAATGCCACCTCAGATGCGTGCTAGTCAGAATGGGTAACTCCTGTTAATTAATCGTTAGCATCCCTGAGACTGAATATGAATTTCACAAATAGAATGAACTTTTCCAGACTGTCAATCTGGGGGAAAATCTGGGCAAACGTTGTGGTTTATTCCAGCCTTTAAGAACAGAAAATTAAACATTTAGAGGGAAATAAAAACTAAATTCAAAGCAAAGGCTACAGTACTTCTGAACTACGGTCGGTAAGGCTTCCAAATTACAACTAGTAGCGCTGCAACTTAGGGAAAGCTGCCTGATTCTCAACTGATTCGACACTGACTGGACACATTAACAATTTATCTTCCCTTTGGTAAACTTCTGCCATGCACCTGTGATGTGGCTTCTGACCCTGTGAGCGAAGTGAGAATGCTCTAAGACCACAGGCCATACCATGTATTAATGACTGCCGAGTGACTGTGTGGCTTATTCATGGACTGTCTATGTAAGGCAGTGTTATAGGCCTTTGGGGTGGAGGTGGGGGTCAGAGCATATGGTCTGCCCAGTTCACCTAACAACAAACTCACTCTCAAACACCAGCACAGACAGAGAGCACTGTGGACAAATGGAGTAATACCGAAGCATCTGGAACGACCCAGCAGCTGAGAATACAACACACACACAGCTGACTGATCACAGAAAGTGGTATAAATGGACAATTAAAAACCTACCATCAATATAGGACACTACCTCCATCCTGTTACTTTATGTATGACTACAAAAATAACAACTTGTACAGATTACATCCTGATCAGAGCACCCCATTCCACCACATCCCACCAAAGATACTCTATTGGCTTGAGATCTGGTGACTGTGGGGGCCACAGTGAGTATAGTGAACTCATTGTCATGTTCAAGAAACCAGTTTGAAATGATTCGAGCTTTGTGACATGGTGCATTATCCTCCTGGAAGTAGCCATCAGAGGATGGGTTCATGGTGGCCATAAAGTGATGGACATGGTCAGAAGCAACGCTCAGGTAGGCTGTGGAATTTAAACAGGAAAACATTTCCCACACCATTACACCACCGCCACCAGCCTGCACAGTGGTAACAAGGCATGATGGATCCACGTTCTCATTCCATTTATGCCAAATTTTGTCTCTACCATCTGAATTTCTCAACAGAAATCGAGACTCAGACCAGGCAACATTTTTTCAGTCTTTAAATGTCCAATTTTGCTGAGCTCTTGCAAATTGTAGTTTCTCTTTCCTATTTGTAGTGGAGATGAGTGGTACCCGGTGGGGTCTTCTGCTGTTGTAGCCCATCCGCCTCAAGGTTGTGTGTGGCTTCAAAAATGCTTTGCTGCATACCTCGGTTGTAATGAGTGGTTATTTCAGTCAAAGTTAGTCTTCTATCAGCTTGAATCAGTCGGCCCATTCTCCTCTGACCTCTAGCATCAACAAGGCATTTTCACCCACAGGACTGCCGCATACTGGAAGTTTTTTTTCGCTTTTCACACCAACAACCATGCCACACTCAGAATTGCTTAAATCACCTTTCTTTCCCATTCTGACATTCAATTTGGAGTTCAGGAGATTGTCTTGACCAGGACCACACCCCTAAATGCATTGAACCAACTAACATGTGATTGTTTGATTAGATAATTGCATTAATGAGAAATTGAACGGGTGTTCCTAATAAACCTTTAGGTGAGTGTAAGTAACCAACCTGTCTACTTTCTGCTTTGACCTAAAACTTGGACTCTATGTAATCTTTTAGAGTATGAATATCATACAGTTATAACAAGGTGTTGTGATATGTACATTGTGATATTTCGATATCAGGTTTTTAGCAGGGTTGGAGCTGAACTCTGCAGTACAGTGGCCCTCCAGGACCGAAGTTGCCCATTCCTGATCTAGAGGGTCCAACTGGACAGACCAACAAAAACATTAAAACGCAACAACGCCATCATCCCGTCTCGTGTGCCACGACGCAAACCTGAAATTTGAATGCACTGTTTTTGGATTATAAATCACATTTTTATTTGAAATCGGACAAATATTCACATTTCAATTTGACAGCCCTAGTTTAAATGTATAGGAATAATTATTTAGGTCTTTAAATGGCATTCATTAAGCACATTAGCAGGAGCATAAACAGGAATGTTCCCGACAGGTGCTGCTGACGTTGTCATGATTTAACAGCTGCCATGGTGCAGCAACTGTCAAACACGAATTTACCACAGCGAAATCTGACAGAAGTCAAAGCTAATGAGCTTTTTGCCAGAAAGCATTAGTATGTAAAGTACAAAACTAAACTGAAGACTTTCAGTGGCTCAGTACAAGTATTTTAGTCCCCTCATGAGTCTCTTAAAGGTAACACAGTAGATGATTGATGGCTCCTTTAAAGAGCCTGCACTCTGACACACTTCCCTTCCCCCTGTAATGGAGACATAAACCCCCCTGACTTTGCGCTAAGCACTCAAACTCACGCCTACCATTGCACTCTAGACTCTCCAGATGAACGCTCTTCTGAAAACCCTCGGCATTTATGTAAATACACACTCAAATATGAGCAGAGTCTGATGGAATTGTCAGCCCTCAGTGGAAGATAATGGAGGTGTTGCCATGCAGGACAAAAATCCAACCGCAAAGAACAGCCCACCATAGCAGCATCAACTCACAAGCATCTGTGCGTGTGTGTGTGCACGCACTAATAAATAACCAAGGAAACTGTTTGTCTTCAATTCAGAGCACTAAGCACCAAGGAACAGGGAGTTCATTTCATGCAATTTTGCTTCATGCAGCTCTCTAATAGCGTGACAGAAATTGACAGAAATGGAGGTGCAAAATCCTAAATGACAATGGACCTCCACATGTGTGACTAACACATCATTTAAGCTGGCATAAACGGACAATAATTATCCAAACGCTAGCAGAAAAATTTCCAAAAACAGAGACAGACTGCAGAGTAAGAGTTTACACAAATGACACTGGTGGCTCTCATTAAAGTTCAATACTCAAGGAACTACAAGCACTGAATGTCCAAATAGTCTGAGGAACACAGGCCACAACAGCTCATTTCTATCAGAGACTTGAATAGAAAAAGAAGTTCAAAGATCAGTATAATTCGTTTTGTTTTACACAGTGAAGTTCTCAAAAGGCTTGCAATCAGGCTTGAAAATAATGAGGTTCCATCTTGTGCCAAAAATTAGTTGGCTTCTTTGTGCTTTATATTACACATTGTCTAGTCACTGCCTACTTGTTAAGATAAATTAGTATATGCATGTTCTGTTTATGTCATTGTTCTGTCGTTGTCTTCTGTCGTCCTTACTGTACTCTTGTTCTGTCATCTTTATTGTCTATGGAAGGCGGTTTAAAAAAAGAGTTTTACACTAAATATATATTTCACATATAAACAAAAAACAAAATGCAAAGTCTTTTCTGCCAGCAAAGTAAAGAATGCAAAATAATTGCATTCATTCATGTGCGTGGAAAAACATAGCACGTTAAAATGATTTCATGCATTTAACGCACCCGCCATAGACTTACGGTCATCTTATATTTCATACAGTTGATTGGTGACAAACATGAAGCAAGGCAAAAAATTCAAGATATTGGTGCAAAAATGTCCATGTTGAGTTGTCTTATTTATCATATGATCTAGTTCACAAAAGGGCTGTTTTTGTACAGATAGAAAAAGACTACAGTAAAGATAACAGAACAAGACTATATAAACAGAAAACATGTCAAAATACACTAATTGTAATAAATATTGTAGACATGGACACATACTATACTTACACTCACCAAATGGATTATTAGGAGCACCAGTTCAAAACCTCATTAATGCAATTATCTAATCAACCAATTACAAGGCAGTTGCTTTAATGCATTTAGGGGTGTGGTCCTGGTCAAGACAATCTCCTGAACACCAAACTGAATGCTCAGTCACTGGGATTTTCACGCACAACCATTTCTAGGGTTTACAAAGAATGGTGTGAAAAGGGAAAAACATCCAGTATGCGAAAATGAAAATGCCTTGTTGATGCTAGAGGTCAGAGGAGAATGGGCCGACTGATTCAAGCTCATAGAAGAGCAACTTAGACTGAAATAACCACTCGTTACAACCGAGGTATGCAGCAAAGCATTTGTGAAGCCACGCACAACCTTGAGGCGGATGGGCTACAACAGCAGAAGACCCCACCGGGTACCACTCACCTCCAATACAAATAGGAAAAAGAGGCTACAATTTGCAAGAGCTCACCAAAATTGGACAGTTTGACAAATTGGATATTGCCTGATCTGATGAGTCTCGATTTCTGCTGAGACATTCAGATGGTAGAATGACAGAATGACAACATGGATCCATCATGCCTTGTTACCGCTGTGCAGGCTGGTTTTGGTGGTGTAATAGTGTAGGCCCCTTGCCATGGCCTACCTGAGCATTGTTTCTGACCACGTCCATCCCTTTATGGCTACCATGAACCCATCCTCTGATGGCTACTTCCAGCAGGATAATGCACCAGGTCACAAAGCTCGAATCATTTCAAATTGGTTTCTTGAACATGACAATGAGTTCACTCTACTCACTGTGGCCCCCACAGTCACCAGATCTCAACCCAATAGAGTATCTTTGGGATGTGGTGGAACAGGAGCTTCATGCTCTGGATGTGCATCAAACACAGTGTTGGTAGGGTGTTCCTAATAATCCTTTAAGTGAGTGTATAATGCACAAAGCAGGCTACTCATTTCTGGCACAAATGGAACCTCATAGAAAAACTGAAAATCAACTAATTTGCGACCTCTCAAACTAATCTGTTGGCTGAATATTTGTGTGCGCTGTCTGATGATTCTAGTCAAATCATATTCTTCCAAGCGCCAGTCATTTGGAACATGAATACCTACCTTCCCCACATTCACACATGACATTGTGAAGTCTCACTTAACAAATAGACCATTGTAATACATCCTAACACAAAAGTGAGAACCACTTACCCTCTCTGTGGCCTTGCTTTTCTTAAACGTTGCTCCCGTCAACCTGCAAAAAGAACATTGTATGGTTAGACAGGCATTTTATTAGTGAACATTGGTGATGATTCCCAGGATTTGCGGACTTGTTGTCCTTTACCTCCATTACCATGCTTATTTACGGTCTTTGTATATCATAAATACTTCCTCTATTAGAGTTGGGTTTTCCCCTTAATAATTCTGTGAGAAAGACAGATCTTTCAAGAGAGGCAATGCTGCACAATTTGCCAATGCCAGAATAAAGACTAACCATGGAAAGAAGCCAAATGAAATGGAAAGGCAGAATACAAGTACAGCCTATTGCCCCTCTACATTAAGATAATAATAATACACATTTTAGTGCAACATTTTTACTTTATTCTCACAATGCTAGCCGTGTATTTTTTCTGACGGGTTATGTGCTGCCTATGAGGGTGTATTATATACACTAACTGTATATTACAATGTATTAGTTGGAGGAAGATTCATATTCATTACAACATTATGGCTAAATTATCCCGTTAACAATCTCAGCCAGGTTAAAGAAATCAAGTTCATTATCAAACAGCAGAATTACATAAACACACCAAAGTTCCCATTACAAAAAATCACATCAAGCAGAATGGACCTCCTTGCTCTTTAGGCGGTGTATTCAATAGCATGTTATAAGCCTATGTTGTCCTTTCCCTGGAAAGCTTCCACCTACAAGGCTCCTGTTCTAGACATAACTCATTTCTATACCAAACTTCAACTGAAGGTCACAACACTGTTAACATAATAAAGCATTCCCAAAAGAACACAGTCCAGTCCACATTAGATTACCACTGCATTAAACACAGACTAGTTCTGACATAGGACTATTCAGATTCCTTAACTCATGTTCCAAAAGCTTTAAGGTCTCTTCTAAGATATTATTGTTTTAAAAAATATAATGGCAAGCGTCCCACCTGTGGGACGGTGACAGTTAAGTGGTTTAAATGCATTATTCCTATATAATGGGTTGGCTTGGAAGTAAAAGGACAATAGTCCATTGTGAAGCTCTTATCAAATGATAGTGATAGTTCACGTGACAGTCCTGAACAGCAGCAGCTTTCTGTTCAGTAGGCCTATGTGCTCAAAACCAGCAGGCCACAAATGAATGCTTCTCACTGCATTTAACTTCACACATTGTGTTGACCTACTTTGTGGACATAAGCAGCAACATGAGCAAGATTCAAATTAAATTAGATACATAGACACTGGATGTGATGATCTCAGAAGTACTTCTGCATGTTGTATTTATATTTTATTAGCACGTTAGCTATGAAACAAGCCCCTAAAAGGACTATACTATCAGGTAGAGTAATTCGCAGCAAGTACTAGGAGGGTCGCTAGCTTAACTTGCTGTGATCGATACTACAAGCGATTAAACCACACAGATGCATGTTATTTGCAAAATGAGCTTTTTGCAAATGGAGAATATGACAGACTGTGATAAAACTTAACACTGCAACTATTTGCTACGTTCATTTGAATTTAGCCGCGGAGTGACCATGCGTTTTCCAACAGAATCTCTAACGTTAGTTAATTTCCAGACCGATCGCAGTGAAAAAATACGTCCGATGTTAAGACCGCGTGTACAACATAGGGGACGAGCTCTGTGAGAGTTCTGCTCATCACCTGCATCGTTTTAATTGCGTTGCATCATTGTTACACTTCTCAGAGATGCTAAACTTAGCAGAAGAGCTCGGACAGCGCGCCGAAGTTACACATGTTTAGATAACTCTTGACGCAACCGTGCATGTACTACTGACCAAAGCAGCAACTTTAACCGAAATGAGCCCTATGGGCGCGCGGTGGTCGATCTGCTCTTACATAATGACGCATGTTAACGCGTGCTAGCGACCGTAAACAACCACCAGTTAGCTCGCGCAGCTACAAGCGTGAACAATCAACACTTACCCTCGATGCCCCCTTTCTCAAACTGAGGGAACTGAGTAGGTATGGTGTGCTGACAAAGGTGAATGCTTGTTTAGTGGGATTTGGGAATTAGTTCGTTTTCTCAGATTACGTCTTCCCACGACAACCTACTTTCTGGGTGAAACAGGGACGGTGCAAAATGGCTGTCTTTCCTGCATGCACCATCACATTTATTAAAAGGGGATTGGGGTGGAGCCTCTGTCAAAATATAGAGGGCAAATATGTACTTTGGGAGACAAAACGTTGATAGACGTGAGTATAACAACAATTTATGTTAGTCTTTAAAGACATATTACCATATAAATACTTAAAACAGAAGTAAGAAGGAATTGTTTGAAATACGCCCCCCTTCTTAAAGAGACAGATACACGTTGCTCTCACGTGGTCGCTGAAGTCAATAAAAACCCAAAAGGCCTGCGCATGTGATATGGAGATAAACATGCATGTAACTGTAACTGGTTAACGTTGTCCTTTCAATATCTGTGCAGTTTGGTATTATTATTATTTTATTATAGAATGCGTAATATAATCGATTCACAATGCCAAATAAGCACAAATACATTGTATCCTCAATGTAAATGTACATTAACCACGTCTGCAGGCACATATCCATGTCCGCCTTCTTTATCCATGCAATTTGCATGCTAGTGGACTTTTAACCAGAAATTCTGTTGTAGCATTTTTTAAACGAATCGATTAATCAACATGATAAACTATACATGTATCAATATATTGTTTAATTATTATTATTATTATTATTGTTATTATTATTATTATTAATGTGTTATTGGTCCGGTTATCAGTTTCTAGCAGTCGCTAGAAAACACTATCAAATCCCGTCTGCTGACTGTATCCAGCCAATTAAACTCCAAAACAGTAGAGGGCGATGTCGAGAATGTGTGACAGGCGTCGAAGAAAAAAACTTCAAATGCGTCTCAGTAGCAGTAGGCGTGCAGTAGGAGTAGTTGATCTAGAATGACATTTCTGTGACTCGTTTTGTTCGTTCGTTCGTTTACACTCGGAACGATGTCCAGTGTTTTAGCAAGGATTTTATTTTATCCCACACTCGCTTACAATGTCGTCATGGAAAAGGTCACCTCCAGACAATGGTTTAATCGCGTAGATCAGACTGTCATTCTTGGTGCTCTCCCATTCAGGTCAATGACAGAAGAGGTAAGATTAGACTTTTACTGTATTTTTGAATTACAGATATAACGTTAATTGTAATGTTCATTGCACATTTATAATTTGCCTCATATCGTAGTCCTTTTTAAGGCTTCAACTTATCCATCTTGTCTAATTTGGCTTTAGCTGGTCCAAAAAGAGAAAATCAGAGGAGTCATTACCATGAATGAACAATATGAAACAAAATATTTCTGCAATTCAGCTGAGGTAAGTGTCTCTCCTAACTCTTTTACTCATTCCCAACTATAATCACAGATGGCAATGTGCATGCTTAATATTAAAAACAGGAGTGGCGAGCTGTTGGTGTTGAGCAGATCAGACTGGACACAGTGGACCTGACAGGTGTCCCCAGCCTAGAGCACATCCACAAGGGTGTGGACTTCACTTTGAGACATCGACAGCAAGGCAGTAGTGTCTATATTCACTGCAAGGCCGGCCGTTCACGCAGTGCAACTATTGCAGCTGCATACCTCATCAGGGTGGGTATCAGTCTGTCTGCCTGTCCTACATCGTGAACAATAGTAAAACCAGCAGCATCAATACAAACAGCTCTGTGTCATAGGTCACCACTGTAAAAAATATTTGTCATTGTGTGGTTGCACATTTCTTTAGCACATATAATCTGCATTTGATGTTAGTTCAGTTCAGTTTAGTTCAGTTCAGATACCTTTATTAGTCCCCAAGGGGGCAATTCAGTTTTACAGCCAACCCATCCATAATAGTTAAAATACATTAACACACAATGAATAAAAGGAAAAGAAGAAATAAATATTCACATCCACATATTTACTCACTAGTATACCAACCAGTGTCACACACACACACACACACATTCACCTTCCATTGACTAAACAGAGCAGTGGAAAGCAAGAACCAATTTCCGTTTAGCAGTCTTACGGCAGAAGGAATGATTGAGTTGGCATAGTTAGTTTTCCGTTTTGGCACATAATACCGCCGACCTGACTGCATAATAACAAATTCTTCATTGAGTGCATGATCTGGTCTCTAATATGTAAAAAAATTGCTCCATTACTGTCCTTTGTCTCATCAGTTATAAATTAGCCTACATTATTCACAGTTGAGTTGTTTGCCTCAATGTCTATGGTAATTATGGCCCTGTGTTTAACCTTTATTCTCCTTTCACAGCTACACCGTTGGAGTCCAGAGGAGGCCTGTAAGATGCTGGCCTCAGTCCGGCCTCATGTGCTGATCCGCTCAGCCCAGCTGGAGGTGCTGCAGGAGTACTATAAGCAAGTCTGTGCTTCTGAGTCCAGCTAGAAGATACAGTGTACAAATGCCAACATTTATGCTGATTCTCAGTTGTTTTGTCCTTGCTGGAGTGCATACTTTTATATATATTTGTATAAGATTTTGTGTACTATACATAAAAAAGACTTTAAGCCATGATGTCATGTCAATCTGGATCAGCTATATTGTGAATATATTTTGTTTATAATTCTGTCACCTCAGGGGCCTGTACCATGATGGTAGTTGAACAAAACTCTGGGTTGCATGATTAGTTTCGAGTTGACAAAACCAAACCAATCCAACCAGGCTTTGTTGGTTGGTACCATGATGCTGATCATCAACTTTCTTTGTCAATTCAGGCTTTGATCTTGAGTTTAGGAGTTTATGTGTGACATAAGTAGCGAACAGCCAAACACATGCTGAGAAAGAGTGAAACTCATTCAAAACTCATTGAAATTAATTTCTCGCGAGAGAAGTAGCGCAATTCACTTATTAAATAAAAGTGTTAAAATATTAAGAATTTAAACAGATTTACACAGCAAGAAGAAAATAGCTGTCTATGAAAGAGGACAACTAAAAGAAAATCTTACTATTGTATATCAATTCAAGTAAAAGCTGTGAAGTTAGTTTAAACAGTTGATAAAGAGATAGATAAAATCGAACATTTAAGCTCACATGTCATTTTATAGCTTCATTTATTGATTCTAAAGGGTATTTATATTACCTTTATATACGTATTCATTTAAAATCTGAGTAAACATAATTGATTAACTGAAATTGTACATGTGAGATTGTATAATAATTACAGAAATAATTTCTAAATCATACAAATTTATTTACTAAAAGCCATGATTTTGTCTTTTAAAATAATTTGCTGTGTAGTGACCTTTAATTTGGAGTGAAAACAGGTGGAGTGACTTTATCACGTCAGACATGTGTCACTTTGCTCATAGCTGATTGGTCCAAGTTCGGTTTGCAACCTCTTACCTGGAACATAACCTGTCCCAGACCAGGTTAGCCGTGGAGTTTAAGTTGCTATGGCGATGAACACTGCTAAAAGCCAAACCACTTTCATGGTACCTAAAACTCAGGGTTGGCACAAACTGAATTGAAACATAGCTGGCTAGCCACCTAAACTGGCTTCATGGTATAGGGCCCAGATGTTCAGACAGTAAATTTCCAAATTGCATTTATTTTTGTTTGAGTTTGTGATTTATTTTTTTTGATAATATTAGAACCTTGCAAACCTCCAACTACAAGGGGATCACACTTCTCAGCTTCCCTGGGAAAGTCAATGCCAGGGTACTGGAGAGGAGAATACGGCCGATAGTGGAACCTCAGATTGAGGAGGAGCAGTGCGGTTTTAGTCCGGGCCGTGGAACACTGGACCAGCTCTATACCCTCTGGGGTGCTGGAGGGTTCATGGGAGTTTGCCCAACCAATCCACATGTGTTTTGTGGATTTGGAGAAGGCATTCGACTGTGTCCCTCACGGTGGCCTGTGGAGTGTGCTCCGGGAGTATGGGGTCCATGGTCCTTTACTGAGGGCTGTCTTGTCCCTGTATGACCGAAGCAGGAGCTTGGTTGGCATTGCCGGCAGTAAGTCAGACTTCTTCCCGGTGCATATTGGACTCCGGCAGGGCTGCCCTTTGTCGCCGGTTCTGTTCATAATTTTTATGGACAGAATTTCTAGGCACACCCAGGTGCCGGAGGGTGTCTGGTTTGGGGATTACGCGATTTCGTCTCTGCTCTTTGCGGATGATGTTGTCCTACTGGCCTCTTCACACCAGGACCTTCAGCATGCACTGAGACGGTTTGCAACCGAGTGTGAAGCGGCTGGGATGAAAATCAGCACTTCCAAATCCGAGGCCATGGTCCTCAGTCGGAAAAGGGTGGCAGGCCCAATTCAGTTTGGAGGAGAGATTCTTCCTCAAGTGGAGAAGTTTAAATATCTTGGGGTTTTGTTCACGAGTGAGGGAAGGATGGAACGGGAGATGGCTCGGGCTTCGGGTTCCTGGACGCCTTCCCGGGGAGGTGTTCCGGGCATGTCCCACTGGGAGGAGACCCCGGGGAAGACCTAGGACACGCTGGAGAGACTATGTCTCCCGGCTGGCCTGGGAACGCCTCGGTGTCCCCCCCCAGAAGAGCTGCAGGAAGTGTCTAGGGAGAAGGAAGTCTGGGCATCTCTGCTTAGACTGCTGCCCCCGCGATCCCGCCCCGGATAAGCGGAAGAAGATGGATGGATTAATGGATGGATAACAGATTTATTTTTATTTTTTATCCCACCTACCCTCTTTTTGTTGGAAGGTGTTCAGAAATCTGTTTCTTTGTGATTATGTTTTAGATCATGATTTTTTAATCGTTAATATTTTTTAATCGTCAAATGTAAACATAATCTTGAATACCTTTCTTGGCAGTTTAACTATGTATTTAATTGTTTATTGTTATACACTATAATGAAATAGAGAGGTGTACAACTGGTTCTGTACTGACTTTTTTAAAACCATTTCAAATACATTTTAATTAATATAAAAAAGGTATGCTGTGGTCTGTTTAGTATGTGAACAGTGTTTGTAACCCTATAAGATCTAATTTGATACATAAGTTTCTAATGCTTCTAAACTATTCACATGATCAAAACATTGCTCAAAAACTTGTTGCACACAATATTGGTTAGATTATTAATCCCCCGTTTGTTGTAAACAAATATCAAATGAATATATTGAAAAAAATTAAGGCCTAATTAAAAATGCAATACAAAATAGAACACAATCAATCAATACAGTAATTACATTTAAAAATCGAACTGCAGACGTGAAAAAATACCTATTAAATCGCCCATTGGAACACAGGCATCGGTAATCTCTT